CCACCTCAATACACTGTGTAAACTCCATAGTGAGTGCATTGACAGCTCTGACACACACAACAAAACACAATGTGGGGAGTAGTTGGTGATGTAGGTTGGCAGTGATGTTGTTGTTGTTGTTGTTGTGGTGATGACACTGTTGGCCATCATGATGTTGGCGGCAAGTAAGCGCAATGGCTTGCAACAATCCATAAGTAACTACGACGAAGTTCTGGTTTTGGGTACGTGACATTTGCGGTGAGCACGTAAATTTAAGAGTAACAACAACGAGACGACGCCGAATCGCCAACTTCATTGAAGCCACTGAGTGACACCAACACCAACACCACCACCACCACCGTCACCAATATCACATTGCACCATAGCAAGCAATTGTGGCGGCAACCGACCTCGCTTTTTGACTTCTTACCTATTTCGCTTGTCTCTCTGCTGCTTATTATGGCTGGCTTTTCGTTTCGCGTTTTCCTTATTTCCGAAAACTCCTAGGTCAATACCTCAGTTGGATTAGCTGTATGTATGTATGTACTTATGTCTATTTAAATATTAATAGAATTAAGTACATTCGTGTTGCGGTTTTGAAAAGTATAGATTTGACTCAAGAATTTCGGCTCATTTTTGGAAAGACTTGGGCGGGTATTCATATAAATTAGTGAAGGCGCTAATCTAATTACAAAGCTATCTTTGTACCAAAACTCATATAAATCGAAGCCCAAATACTATTTTTCCGAAATACACTGAGAGACAAATGAGTTTTCAGTTTAAGCTGTCGGCTAGTTCTAGAAATCCGAGAAAACAAACAAACATTAAGACAAAATAGAATTTTTAAACTATGAAGGGAGATAAATTAAACTCTTTCCGAGTTTTACCTATGCTTAGATGAATAAATGGAAATCTCAACTACATTGTGCATTCCTACTTCCGTTCATCTTTCATATAGTATGGGTAACATAAGATCGGTACACGTTAACACAGGAAAAAAGGAAGCAAACTCCTTTCATCAACTGTCATTAATATATATATGTGTAGATCAATAGTTTCATCTTAAACTTAATAACTTTTATGGATATCCTGTGTACTGTCTGAGCTGAAACCTCTATCAATTCACTAAAATTAATGAATTGGTGAAAGCTCTCTCTCTCAGCAAAAGCTTTAAAGCTGCAAATAGAATTTTAATAGATACATTCCTGATTAACTTGCCTTTTGAAGAAGTTTTGTCATGAAATCTAGTTTCTGAGTTCTTACAATTCGTATACCTTACATATACGGATTCAACTAAATTTATAAATAGAAATTAATTAATAAATTTTTAAAAAATGTATTTCTTTAAATAAAAAAATTTAAAAAAAGAATTTTAAATCATTTTTAAAAGAAATGCAAATTAAAAAATTTCAAAAAATTTCTTTTTTTGAAAATAGTACAAAAATTATTTTAAACTGGAATTTCAATAAAAGATAAATAAAGCTTAAACACCTTTTAAAATAATTTAAAAAAAATTTAAAAAGTAAACTAAGCTATTTTTCATATATAAATAAAACAATTAAAATCCATTTTAAAATTATAAATGGGCATTAAATAAATTAAATTTAAAATAATTAATTTTAAAATAATTAAATTTTATTATAGTATTTTCTTAATTTTAAATTCGAAGGAAAAAAAATTAATAAATTAAATAAAATTATATATTTAATAAGAATAAAATAAAATCATTATAAAACTAAATTTAATAAATAATACTAAAATAATAAATTTATTGATTTAAATAAGAAAATCAAAACTCGTTTTGAACTGAAATAAAAAAAATTAAAATAGAGTAAAATATTTAAAACAAAAAATCACACTAAAATTCAATTCAAAGATTTAAGCTGCTCTAATAAATAATAATAAAAAATAAATTATTTCAAAATGAAATTGAAAATAAAAATCATTTTGAATATAAAAACAATTGAAAATTACATACAAATCACCAAAACTCGTATTTCAAATAAAAACTCGTATTTAAATAAAATTAAAAAAAATAAAAACAAATTATTTTAAAATAAAATTAAGTATAAAAAAATTATTTTAAAATAAAATTTAAAAAAAATTAAAGAACTTAATAAAATCTGATCGAAAATCCTTTTTATAAGAAAATCCGGAAAAAATAAAAGGTAAAAAATTTTAATAATCTACTTAAAAATAATAAAAATTATTTTATACTTTAATTCAAAAATAAAATTATCAATATTACATATATTTTCAAACTAAATTATATTTGAACCTTCAGAAGTGTATGAGAATATGCCTTTTACGAAGACTTGTTCAACCTTCTGCTTACGTGTATATAATTAACAACTGTGGCTGTCGCCGCTTGTGTCGGTTGGGCGGGTTATGTTGATGTGATGTTTGTTATTTCAGTAAACTAATTAATTATTTAATTAAAAATAATAATAAAAAAATATAGAAAGAACAATTGGCTGAGTTGAATTCATCGGTGGAAATCTATCGAGTTCTCCATCAAAAGTTTTGTGCCATCTATAAAAAGCTAAGAGGAGTTTCAAAAGCTACTTGTAGAGACTCCTTGAATGAATCAATAAGCGGCAAAAATATAAAAAATATGAAAAATCTTATTATTCTTTCCACAACAAAGTGGGCGAGTCAATGCTCTGAAGTGCCAATGTTTGCTGGAGTTTTTATTACAATATCATAATTATGTCTGAAGATAATGAAACATTTTTTTTTTTTGCAATGAGCGTCAATTGTCTTTTATACTTTTTGTCATTATTTTTTTCTTAATATTATTATTTATTCTTCTTCTTCTTCTCAATGCCTGGTTTTTATAGCTTTTGCCATTTTATTTGTTAAAGAAATTATCATAGAACTAACGCGACCCAAAGCTTTCAACCAATATAAAGACGCTTCTTTGAACACTGGAAAGTATGTTGAACACTTAGATAGTTGTAAAACAATGCATAATATATTTATGTGTATATTTATATGTGCATATGTATGTATGAATAAATGAATATTCAACCATAGCTATTTGTTATTTGCATGTATAGCTGCCACTTTTACAATATTTTTCGCTAACAATATTTACATTGTACATTTATACAAGCATGCACACAAACATATATACATACATACATACATACATATTAACAATGTCAACAACCTTTTTTGTGTTCTTAACTGTGTCTCTGTTGTCTTGCCGCCAATTTTTAACCAGCCCATGCCACCAATAACACAAATAAATATACATAAATACATGGAGAAAGAAGAAGAAGAGTGTACATATGTACAAATAGAGTTACATTTTATTTGACTTGCTGCTCTCCAACTACACATGTAAATACTTGTTGTTATTGCTGTTACTATTGTTGTTCTATTTACACATTTTACTCTTTGAACGATCGTCATTGTGATTTTCATGGCTTGCCATAAACAAATGTCGGCTTGTTGCTTGTTGCTTGTCGCCTTCCACTTACTTGCTTTTCTAGCTGTTGACGGTTGACGGTTGACGGCTGGCGATTGGTATTGCTGCTGTTGTTGTTGCAGTTGTTGTTGTCAATGGCCGCCGCATTTGCTTTCAGTGTCACCTCCGTAAACCTCCGTTTGTTTGGTCGTTTTTCGCATTTGCATGCGTTGACATTCATCACTCAGTCAGTTAGGCAGGCAGAAAGACGGACAGACAGACAGACAGACAGACAGTGGCTCCCACCACTTCATGTTCTATTGTTGGTTTACTTGTTGTAAGGCACAATCGTTTGTATAAGTGATTTTGTTGTTGTTTGTAATGTTTTTTTTTTTGTTTTCGTTGTAACTATTATTGCTGCTGTTGCCGTAGTTTATTCTTTGGAACGGCGCATGCACCCAGAATTATTTTTATCAGCAGCGGCTGTCGATCATTTTTGGCAGTTGATATTTGTGGTCATCCGCAAGCAGACAGATATACATACATAAATGCAAATACAAATAAATGAATATTCTTATTTGGTTGTGCCGTACAAAATTTATTAAGTGGGCCAAAAGTTTACTTTGGCACAGCCAATTCTATAGTGAACTGAACATTTCTGTTGTTGCAACCCAAATACATATGAAGATAGAAAAATTTCAATGTTCCACCATAGATTCTCCAGGAGAGGTTGGCTAACTGAAAGCGTCAATCTTACATTGTTTACGGTCATAACTTGAAGACCGTTGCTAATTTAGTCTATCTAGGGACCGATGCTAATACCAACAGCCAGCCTTGAAATCCAGCGCATGCTACTTTGGACCGAGTAGGTAATTTAAAAGTAAAGTCCGCACTCGACGAACAGATACCTAACTCCACAAACAGCTCATAATGCGAAAGCATAGACGATGACGAAAATTAAAGAGTTTTCACTTGTACCTTTCGAAAGCTAAGCTGACTAATTCATGATGTCTTCTAAAAAATATCGACGTAGTAGTCGCTGGTGAAAGCAGAAGCAGAGGTAGACAGCCACTGCTCTGGAAAGAGCACGTGTAGAAGCACCTGGCATCATTTGATAATTTATTCGAGCTGAGCTTTACCTTGGCTGCAGAATGAGGCAACTGAATTTAATCAGAAATTTCACAGATTAGTTCAATTCTTCAATACCAATACTAAATGTATACAACTTACGTTCTGTATCTCCCTCAACTGAGTCATTCCTTTCATATGATTACACATATAAATCTACTTTTAATTGGTATGATACACCTTATTACCCAGCAAATAAAAACAAATCAAATGCAGAAAGTAAGGTTGGCAGTAATAAAAAATTAATCTATGAAACAAAATTACTTATCTAGTCTGTACATTCTTATGCCTTTGATACTAACACTTTTTTTTTTGGTTTTTTGGCACATGGCTTTTGAAAAAAAGACTCGTTTTGGTGACTCATCGTTCCAATATTCTTCATGCTCGTAAAAATAACGAAATATTTGTTCTATTTAGTTTAATTAAAAAAATTCTACACTGATGACTAAGTTTAACAATATCTATGTTCTTCATTTTACAGGGTTCCGATCCACGTGCGGCCACATGTCGTGGCAAGTTGCAGAGTCGTCGCTGCAAATTGAATCAGGAAATCAATAAGGAACTACGTTTGCGCGCTGGCGCTGAAAACCTATTTAAAGTAAGTAGAAGTCTTGTACATTTTATTACTAAAATAATCTTACAAAATTAAATAAATCAAAAATAATTTTTTTAAATGATTTTGAAAAAAAATTAAAAAATACCATAAAAAATTTAAATTTTAATAAAACTAAAATATTTTAGAATAAAAAATAAAAAATATAGAACTAAATAAAAAATAAAAGTTTTAAAGCCAAAAAAATATTAAAAAATAAACATACAATATTTCATTTAAAAAATACGTTAAAGTGAAATCAATAATACAATAAAAAAATTAACTTATATTAATTTCTAATATTATGAAAAAAAAATTGTAAATTAAAATTCAATGATTTTAAAATGAAACTAAAAAAAAATGAAAAATAATTTTAATTAAAAAAAACTTTATCTTAAACATTATTTTTGCCATAATAAAAAAATAGTACTTAAATTAAATTATTGTTTTTGAATAAACAAAAAAATAAATTGAAAGAAATTGCAATAAAAATAAATGAAATTCAAGTTATAAGTTTTTAGTGAGCTAATGGCCTGGTTTATTTGTATGAATTGAATATTTGTTATACCACAAAGAGAAATAGTAGAAGTGACAGCTGTTACGGAGATCACCACATCTCCTCATCAGACTTCTAATGGCAGGGATCGAGCCAACGGATCCTCACTTAACAGACGAGTGTTCTACCACTGCGCTCGCATCAGCCATATAATCTATTGTATTGTATAATTCATAATTATATTTTTTATAATTAAATTATATTACACAAATTTCGAAAAATATAAGGAAAAATCATTTGGAAGGAAGATAAATAATTATCATGGAAAAAAAACTAAATATCATTGTAAGATAATATAAAAATGAATTATATTTAATTTATTAAAAACAGTGAATACTAATATGTGAAACTAAATAATAATACTAATAATAATAATAATAAATTAAGTCAAAAAAAAAATTAAAACGAAATGAAATAAATTAAAAAAAATAATTATTTATATTAAATTTTAAAATAAAAATAACCAAGTAAATTTAACAAACATATTTCTTCAAAATAATACAAAGTTCATGCAAAAATCAAACTGAAAAAATTAAAATAATAAAAATATTTAATAAATTTTTGATATGAAAAAATAAATAAGTTAATTTAATAAACATATTTCATTAAATTAATTCAAACTCAAGTAAAAATTAAACTAAAAATTTGTGCTTTTTGCGTCTTGATGTTTTTCCAACAAAGCCGACTCCGAACAGCGGATGGTTTTTTTACGAGCGGCCTTTGCTTCATGTTCGAAATACACTCGGAGGGGTGGACTTCCCTGCCCTGCCCTGCAATTAGAAAATTTTATTTAATTTTTTATTTAAATTAATTCTCCATAACTTTGGATGTTAGTGGCAGCGGGATATGAATCCGAGCCTTCTGAATGTCAAAAAATGTATGGACATTTTTTTTTATTAAAATATAATTAAAAATCTTAAAAAGTTTAAAATATAAAAATATTAGTAAATAAAATTTAAGAGTAAACATTAAATTCTTTTTTGTTAAAATGATAAAAAATAAAAGACATTTTACAGCGAAATCAATTAATTATAATTAACAAAAAATTATTTCAACATTTATTTGCAGCTAAAAGAATTTGATTTAGAGTAATACCTAATTTAAATAAATCACGGTTACACATTTTAGTAAAAACATTTTTTTTGTAATTCATTAACAATTAAATTTAATTAAAATTAATTTTTATTTTTTTTTTGTAGGCCACCACAAATCGCAAGCTACGCGACACAGTTGCTCTAGAATTGAGTTTTGTTAATTCAAATTTACAACTATTGAAAGAACAATTGGCTGAGTTGAATTCATCGGTGGAAATCTATCAGAGTGATAGGTGAGTAGTAAATTATGCACAATTTTTTATATATAGAAATTGATATAAATACTGTAAAATATCACGCATAACATGAGTTTTATGTAATGTACAATACATATCTTTTTACACATTTATTATTCTTACATAAATTCACATTGAATCACGCAGAGCGTTTTATTTATCATCGCATTGTTCTGGCTGAAGCTCCAGGAACTACTGCATTGTGGGAACTGCAAATTTTATGACTTTAGCAATTTTTGCTTTTCGTCTATAAATGGAAATTTATATACAAATTAATTGCAAGAAGCGATGTCGTAGTGGATAGAAACATATTGTATTTTATTTTATTATATATTATTTTTTTTTTAACTTTTTAATTGAATTTTATTTTATTTTATTTTATTTTATTTTATTTTATTTTATTTTTTGTTAATTTAAAATTATGTTGTTTTATTTTATTTTTCTTTTTTTCTTATTTTATTTCATTTTGCTTTTTTATTTTTATTTATTTTATTTTATTTCATTTTATTCTATTTGATTTTATCTTTCTTAATTCATTTAATTTAATTTTATTTTATGTAGTTTTATTATATATTTTTTCTATTTTAACTTTATTTTATTTTAGTCTATTTTATTTTTTTATCTCTCTAATTTAATTTTATTTTATCTTATTTGAGGTAATCTATTAAATTTTTTTTTGGAAAATGGAATACTCTTTTAAGTAATTTCGAAGAAATCTTTTCTTATTAATGGATTGAAGTTCTGTTTGGTTGTAAAATTTGCACACCCAAGTATACGAAATCAGACAAGAAAAAAAAAAAAATTTTTTATTCAAAACTCACGCTTTTAATTTACTAAAAACAGTTTTTTTTTTTTGTTATCATAAAAATATTGAAAACGTGTTGAAATGCGATAATATATACAGCGGCTAAGGCGATTAACCACAAAATTTTAGCCAAGTACTTGATTGTTTACAACGAAAAAAAACTGGGAATTTTCTACAAAAAAAAAATCACACAAATCTTCCATTTATTTTCTGTTATTTGTTATTGTTTTTTTTCACACACCGAGCGTGCTTAATGAGCATATTTTTACCGTAAATAAAAATGACTCATTATATACTCATTAATTTTCTCTACTTAAATTGTTTGGTTCGGTCAAATGTGAACAAATGTTTTTCTACAACATGAAGTAAATATGTAATATTTTTTTTTTTGGAAAATTCAATTAGTAAAATCTAACCAGCAAAAATGTCATACACACATTTTTAGTAAAAAAAAAAATAAATAAAATTAAATTCTGAGCCAAAAAAGCTTTATTACTAAAAATGCTAAAATTCTATACTAAAATCTTGGTCGCTGCTGAATTGTACTAAAATTTACATTTTAAAAATAAAATTTAACTATTTGCTTTTTTTACTCTGAAATCCAAAAGAATTATATTTAAAACTTTCATGATTGCTCCAATTAACTATTGAAGTAAGTTTTGTTATAATTTTAATTTATTTTAATTATTGTAGTTTTTATTGAATTTGATTATTTAGCTTTATTATCATTATAGCTTCACTTATTCGCTTGTAATAAATGTGGGTTTATAATAACTATAAATAACTATAAACTATAATATGTTCCATGCAAATAGATACTCATATATTGTATAATAAATTTAAAATGAAAGCAGTGATGAGTCATTTATCACGAGGAAGTATTCCTCATGCTAAAAACCCACTTTTTTTCTTTTTTGGTTTCATTTATATGACACGTATCTTTAAAGACTTGGTTACAGTTCCGATAGAAAGAAAAACTATTGAGTTCAAGAGCTTAAAATATAATAACCCATTCACTGGAATGGGCTGCTCAACGTTGCTTTGATTGGTCGCTTCTGGCGGTTTTGACTTTTTGCGTAGACCAAGAGACCAAGGTGTTAGCCAAAGGGTCGGATGATTTATCAGTTTGTGCTGTTATGGACTTTCTGTCACTTTTAGATGTTGCGTATATTTCAGCCGTTGAGGATTTTAGACTTAAATCTTTGTATTCGATTAAAAAAGCTATACCCCATAGTCGGATTCCATACATCCATTTCGGTTTAAGGATACTATAGAACTATGGAATATCAATGACATTCTGATTTCAAGAATAAGTCCTTAATGTCATAGCTTGTAAAATAGTTCAGCTACATCAAGAAAAAAGGCCGAGCACTTCGAGAGGGAATCGAAAGCTTTTCTTATGGCGTTGGTTAAACGATTCACCTCTTCTATTGTGCAAAGCTTCAATGCAGCTCTGAAAAGTTTTTGGAATAAAAATGGGAGTCATTTCTGACAGCTCTTTTAGCATCTTTGATGTGATATGATCGTTTCTAGAACTTCTTTTGTTTGGATCTAAGACGGCGATCGCTTTTTTTGGCTCACTAACAGACATTCCGTAAAAAAGAATGCTGTCTTGGAGCATTATGACTTTGGAGGCAGCATTATCTGCAAGCGCCGCTTGCTCCTAACCAGCAACTCAAGTCCGCTATTAGTTATCATATTTATGGTGTTTGTGAAGAGCACTGCTGGGAAATCAGTTTTCAAATAGATGGAACTTCCCCCAAATGTTCTGCCGGAATCTTCAGACATAGCACGATATGCAGGGAGATGTAGGATGAATTGGACTACGCTCTCCCACGCTTCATCTGGGAAACGTTTAAAGACTCTTTAAGTTGAGCTAGACCTCATGCAACCTTACAAGCTTCCTGAGAACTAAAGGCGAGGGTTTTCGCTTCTTTGAGAAAACTATAAATACAGGAAACTATACAGAAAATATCAATAAACAAATATGTCGATAGCTAGGCGACAATAAGGCAATAATCTCACATCGTATTGCAGGGATGCAGAAGACAGGCGGTCGAGAGTAAATGACTGCATATATATTTACTTTACTATATGTACAATATGTAGTTGCTGATATTGCCAAAACTGCCAGCCATCTTGCTAGCGAAACAGTACAGGATATATAAAAGTCGCTAAAAAAAACTACTACGAAAGAGCTGGGTGCCAGACTTCTCCTCGCTTTCGCGCTCCCAACGTCACTTAAGGACTGCAGGACAGTTATTGGTTTAATGAGGCACCAGAACCTACCAGCATCCTATGCAATAGGTATTAGTTACTGACACCTGTAGTAAGTGCAGAGGGAGCGGCATGAGCGCGACATTTAAACACCTCCTATGTTTCTGTTCAGCCTTGGTTTGGACTCGTTTTAGATTTATCAGAGCTTCGCTGCTCAAAAGTCTAGGGGAAGCTTCAGAATAGGATATTAATGTTCGCTTGAATTTAACGTAAAGCGTTGACTTCAATAACGAGGACTAATTTAGATCGCAACAAAACGGACCTTCAACTGGTACTATAAAGAACCAACTGGCTTATCTAAGACGCTTCAGCCGACCGGTGTAACCTAAGCTAAACTTAGCATCACTAAAATGAATGTTACCCCAGCATGCTGACTTCAAAACAGAATAATTCTGTTAATTGCTAGTTAACATATATTTAAGCGTTTGCGCGTGTTTAAATTGCGTTATTTTACATATATGTATATACTCGTACATATATATTTATACGTATATGTTTCCCACTCTGCGTCGAAATTTCCAGTCAAGCGCGTTTTTACCCGGCCAAGCGGAACATCGAACTCGTACTATTCGACCGTAGATATTTACTTTGTGGGAGTGTGTGTCGGTTTGTATTTTCCTTTTCATTTTTTTTTATTGCGACTACTAATATTTTTATTATCGTACATAACTGTGTTGTTGATGTTATTATAGCAAACAGATTTTTAATTGTTGTTATCTTCCGCCGAACACCTATTCCGAGAGAGAGGGGGGAAGATATGTGGTAACGCAAATGGGATGGTACAAAAATTCGACCACGGAGACTGAAGACAAGAAAACCGATGTAGCATGCCTCTAATGAGAAAGGAGATATCGGATATAAGTATATACGAAAAACTGGATACAGCATTCTCCACTGAGTTCAGTATGCAGCAGAGGAAAACCGATGCTCGGATGGAGACGATAGAGCCGATTCGGGGGAGACGAATATTGAAGGCAGGAGATCTGTAATTGATTTGAGCCAATCGAAACAGAATAAAAAGAAAGTATTTGAAAAGTATACAGATGACCACAACATCGGAAGCATGAAGCATGAAAAGCGCATATAAATATCATAAACTGAAAAGACATTTACAAAAACCGGAGTTTGAATAAAGGAATGTCCAGTATAATTGGCCCTTTTTTACAGCTGAAGCGATTTTCGGCCGTGCTCCTCCTCCAATTTGTTGTGTGCGCTTTGAATTTTTTCCACAAATGTAGGGATCTACGATTTGTACTAAGCCGCCTCCGAACGGCTGATGAGCTTTATTTCATGTCCCAAATACACTCGGAGGGGTGGACATTCCTTGCCGAGATAACTTTTTGGATGTTAGTACGACACCAGGATTTGAACCCGAGCCTTCCCAATGCTAACCAATCGGCTACCTTGGCCGAAATGTCCGATACAGGAGGCTAAACAAGCTGTTGTACGGAAAGTTGGAAGATGACCTTAAAACTGTTATCAAATATGAACGTATACTCGTATAGTAGTTACGAAAACGAGGTATTAAATACTCTAAAAGTGTTATGGTACATAGAAAACGCTAAATTTATTACAAGAAACCAGATATCTAATGGAAAAGGCTGGATGTAGACTACAAGAAAATGAGATAATCCAACTGGAGGTACTCGGTTTTAGAAGCCGTAGAAAACTGTAACGTGATTCGGTGTACCGAACAGAGATACGGAGTTACATACCGCAAACAAATGGAGATATAAACACAGGTGGGCAGCATGGGTTGTTTGCCGATAGGCATATTTTGCTGCCAAGGAAGGTTTTCTGGCTGTACAGCTCAGTTTCCGTCCGCTTGATATGAGTTTTATTATGTTTATATTGCTTGTTTTCTACTGCATTGTTAAAGCTATTTATAAAAGTGACTGCAGAATGTCGAAATCTA